ACATTATCGGGATGTTGGCCATGGATACGACATCATGCTTTTAAAAGTAAGGTTTATCATTTTTGTTTTCTCACATCACACTGGAAGTTTTATATCTTTGAGTGTTAGAATTTACAATATGCTGATTGAAAAGCAGATTTCTAGTTGAGGAAAAAAGCGCTTGCTTAAAAAAAAAGATAAATGATAAATGTTCTGTATTGCTGTCACATGATTTTCACTTATTCTTAATCTTTACTCTTTAATTCTGTGCCTCTAGCTGTCTACACCTGTCCGACCAAGCAAAACGATTCAATTCATTCGACTTCCCCGCCGTGAAATGACATTAAATGAAAATGAGAAGTGTCGAGTGGCTGGATGGGGTAAGATAAACACTCGTGGTAATGTTGTTGACGACCTGAGAGTGGTGGATGTGTCGGTCATCAGCCCACAAGTCTGCAGGGAAAGATGGGGTGGTCTTCCTCCCAATATTATCTGTGCAGGTGGATACAACACAACAAAGGGATTCTGTCAGGTAGCTTTTCTGTCCTTTCCTTGAAAATTCTTGCTAACTGCTCTGTTGTTGAGGAATATATGAGCAGCCCGCATTAAGTATCACATGAACAAAATACATACTTCCTCCTTACAGGGTGATTCTGGTGGCCCTCTGGTCTGCAAGGGAATTGCTGTCGGTATTGTTTCTTTCAACAAACGGCTTCCTGGAACCGAGCTGGGAGATTGTAACTATCCGGATATCCCCAATGTCTATACGGATATCTCAAAACACCTGAACTGGATCAGGAAGATTCTCCAGGGGGAAAAAAGTTAAATCTTACACAAAGCTTTGCGTCAGCACACTGTAAGTGTGCAAGCTATGCCTCTGTCAGCGTTTGCTCTCAATGCAGAATAAAGAAAATGTTTCAAATATTGTTTCTGTGCACGAATAATATCTTATTATGACTTTAAAATCTATCTATCTATTGAAATTCAGGTTTACCATGGAAAATTAATTCCATGCAATACTAATATCTGTAAACTAATTTTTCATTT